TTAAACACCTACTTGCTGGATGGCCTTAGTCATATTACTTAACTTCCTTTAGTCTTTTTACTCATTTATAAAATTACTATAACAATATTCCCTCCAATGATGTAAAGATCAAATCAGATAATGGATGTGAAAAAAATATTGAAAATTATAAAACACTGTAAAAGTATTAGTCACTATTATTATCTAATAGATAAGTCTGGTTTATTCTATCTTAGGTTTGTCTTTCTTCAACCTTACTTCTGTTTCTTCTCCTACCCTGATTTGTTCACGCTTTTATCTTCTCCATATCATAATAGTAGACTTCTTTCTGGAGTCTCAAATGTTCCTAAAGGACTATTTCCAAAGAGTATACTTAAAAACTGTCTAAGACACTGGAGTTTGTATAGAATAAGCAATAAACTCCTCAGCCGAGCACAGGCTCCTCTTGAATTTGATTTGACCTGCCTTTTTAACTTTAGCTCATGTCCTCCCTACACTTCAGTCTCACTGAATTTCTTACCATTGTTCAAATATCCTACTCTTACATAGTTCTTCATTTTCCCCTTCTCAGAATTCCTTTTCCCTTTCTGAACCCTTCCTTCCACTGCTTTTTTTTTTTTTTTTTTAGTGCCAGGGATTGAACCCAGAGGTGCTTAATCACTGAGCCACATCCCTGTCCTTTTTATTTCTTTTTATTTTGAGACAGGTTCTTGATAAGTTGCATAGGACCTTGCTAAGTTTCTAAGGCTGGCTTTGAACTTGCACTCCTCCTGCCTCAGCTTCTCAAGTAGCTGGGACTTATAGGTGTTTGCCACTATTACCAGCCTTCAATTTCCTTTCGCACCCTGTTTTCACTTTTCTGTCTGGCTCATCTATTTGCCTTTCAGGCCTGAATCAAGTGTTGTCTACTTCCCAAAGCCTTCTTTTATACCTTTGTCATCAGTTCTCTCAGTAGCACTTTGTACACCCTTCTATTATGACACTTATCACACTGTTTTGTAAACATTAGTTCAAGAGCCTGTTAGATTATGAGCATCTAGAAAACGATACCTGTTTATTATTGGATCTTCCTTACTACTTGAAACAAATGGACCTTTCCAGCTGAAGTAAAGGTTTCATTTGAAAGATTAGAGCCAGAGGTAGGAAAAATGGATTGAAGAGAGAGATTAAGGTTTGGAGATGATATAGACCCTTACTTCAGAAGTTTTAGTTTTATCCTTTTTTAAAAAATTATTTTAAAAATATTTTTAGTTGTAGATGAACACAATTCTTTTTAATTTTTTTTTTAGTTATAGATGTACACACAATATCTTTATTTACTTTTATGTGGTACTAAGGGTGAAACCCAGTGCCACATACATGTGAGGCAAGTGCTTTACCACAGAGCTGAAGTCCCAGCCTGACACAATAACTTTTATTTATTTTTATGTGGTGCTGAGGATTGAACCCAGGGTCTCACACATGCTAGGCGTGCGCTCCACCACTTTAAAGAGTTAACAAAAAAAAAAAGGCATTGAACTTAGGTAAGAAAGGAATTAACAGTGAAAGGCATAATCTAATGGACCCCAGAAGCCCCTAGAATATGCAAATCTGGTGACTAAGCTTGTGTAAGCAAAAACAAAAATAAAAGTTTGGGGACTAAGATACCACACAAGGATGACCACATAGCTATTTGCTGTTCTATCAGATTTCCTTTTTTTGCTAAATGTTATTTTAGCATCCATTGTAAATGACAGAAGAATTAATTCCCCTCTGAATTCTCAATTTTTGTAGTAGTCTACCATCTTGTTATAATGCCTCTACCCTAGAAGAGTCAGCTACAGGAATCAGGAAAGTATGTGTTTGGGGTAGTGGAGCAAGAATAGAGATGTGAGTTGTTGGTTTGTCCAACTGGTTAAAGAGACTGAGCTTGAAAGGAGAGGGTTTCAGTGATCTATAAAGGCAGGAAATCCACTTTTTGGTTGTACAGAGCAGAAATTCAATACAGATTGATATAGAAAAAGAGAATTAGCTTGGTGCAGTGGAATATGCCTGTAATCCCAGTGATTGGGAGGCTGAAGCAGGAGGATCACAAGTTAAAAGCCAGCCTCAGCAACTTAGCAAGGCCCTAAGCAATTTAGTGGAACCTGTCTCAAAATAAAAAATAAAAAGGCTGGGGGATGTGGCTCAGTGGTTAAGCACCCCTGGTTTCAATCCCTGGTACCAAAAACTAAAATAAGGAAAAAAGAGAATTTACTAGCTTTAATAGCATCTATATGTTTATGATTTCCAAATTGATATTGCCAGTCTGAATCTCCAGACTTATATATCCAATTGCCTAGTAGATACTTCTAGTTGGCCATTCAACAGGCAAATCAAACTCAACACAACCAAACACTGATTTTTTTTTAAGAGAGAGTGAGAGAGGGAGATAGAGAGAGAGAATTTTAATATTTATTATTTTTTTAGTTATCGGCGGACACAATATCTTTGTTGGTATGTGGTGCTGAGGATCAAACCTGGGCCGCTCGCATGCCAGGTGAGCGCGCTACCGCTTGAGCCACATCCCCAGCCCCCAAACACTGATTTCTGATCTTCTCTTTCCAACTTCCCCTTACCAAACCTACTCCCTTATAACCTTCCCCCATATCAAGTAATGAAAAATCTACCCTCCCAGTTGCTCAGGTCACTACTTTGGAGTTATCTTCCATTCACTGACCATAAATTGTCAAGAAATTTTATTGACTCTACTTTCAAATCCATCAAGAGTCTGACATTTCTCTCCATCTGTACAGATACCACCTTGGTCCAAACCACCATCATATCACCTCAATTTATTTTAATAGCCTACTATGGGTCTCCCAGCCCATTCCTTTATTTACTTTGTTTTCAATGTAAGAACCAGATGGAATCTATTATATAAGTTAGAGCATGTCACTCTCCTCAAAATTCTCCAAAGGCTACTTATCCTACTTAGAGAAAAACCAAAGTCCTTACAATAGCTTATAATGCCCTACACAATATGTCTTCTAGTTACCTTTCTGACTTCATCTTTCACTACTCTTTCTCTTGCTCATTGCATTACAGCCTCTTTGCTGTTCTTCTAACACATCAGACATAATATGCATTGGGAGTTCCCTCTGTCTGAATAATTGTCCCTCAAATATCCATATGGCCTTTAAATGCAATTTATTAGCAAGGCCTTTCTTTTTTATTTATTTATTTTTCTTTTTCTCTTTTTTCGGGGGGCCATTCTTTTCTTAAAAAAATATTTATTTTTTAGTTGTAGTTTTCAATACCTTTATTTTATTTATTTTTATGTGGTGTGAGACTTGAACCCAGGGCCTTGCATATGCTAGGAGAGTGCTCTACTGCTGAGCCACAACCCCAGCCCCAGTAAGGCCTTTCTTAATCATCTTACTTACAATCTTAACCTCTCCCCCACCTCTATCCCCTTTCAGTTTTATTACTACTGATCACCAACACTTATACATTTTACTTATTTAGTTTATTACCTGCCTCTTCTTCTACAACGAATACCAGGAGGGGAAAATATGTCCTTTTTTTTCCCCCCTTTGGTACTGGGAATTGAACTCAGGGGCACTTGACCACTGAGCTACATCCTTCTAGCCCTATTTTATATTTTATTTAGAGACAGGGTCTCACTGTATTGAGTTGCTTGGCATCTCCTGTTGCTGAGGCTGGTTTTGAACTCATGATTCTCCTATCTCATCCTCCTGAACTGCTGGGATTATAGGCGTGCACCACCGCACCTGGCTGTATGTCCTTTTGGTTAACAAATGTATCATCAATGCCCAGAACAGTATCTGACATATACTTTTCAATAAATACTGATTTAATAAAAGAATAAAACCCCTGATGATAACTTAGGCATGATTCGATCCAGGTATGTCATTAGAATTGTGTCTGTATTTCTTAGCTTTTTATTTTTTCTCTGCACTGGCTTCATTCTAATGCAGGTTTTTGGTGCAGACGGTGATGCCAAGATAGCCACCAGCAACTGCAGTTTTGCACTCTAACAATTCAGCAGCCAAAATGGAAAAAGAATGCCTATTTCCTGATTGTTCCTAAGAAAGTTTTTTTGTAAATGAGTCAGAGTTTGGGTCAAGTGACAATCCTTGATACAGTCTCTGAGGGTAGAGGAAGAAAATGTTGTAACTGGTCATGGAATCATAGGGCCTCCTAGAATGATAAAACTGGCTCCAGTTGGACTGGAAATGCTAGAGTGGTAGTTCCTTAAAATAAAATGGGGTGCTATCCCTGGAAGAAGAGGAATGAAGGCAGGCTGGCAGAGATGACAGATGTCTACCACATCATCAGTGATGACCCGCCAGTAGATGAACCCAAAACAACACTGTTCTTCTGCTCCTGGGTTTCACACCAGCCAGATGAACCTTGAGAAGGTCCTTTCCTCCTAAAAGCCTTTCACCCAATAAGGTCTTTTTCAACGCTCAATGACTTTTTTTTTTTCCTTTTGGTACTGGGGATTGAATTCCAGGGGCACCCAACCACTGAGCCACATTCCCAGCTCTATTTCGTATTTTATTTAGAGACAAGGTCTCACTAAGTTGCGCCAATGCTGAGGCTGTCCCACCTCCCTAGCCGCTGGGATTACAGGCGTGGACCACCGCACCTGGCTCTTAGTGACTTTTAACAGACTTGGTCTCTCCGTTTTCTGAGTGTCTTAATATATCTAATTCTTTGGTAGGTAGTTTTGAACACTGTGCTTTATACTTATTTGAATACAATAGTGTCTCATGCCCTCCCGCGACCCTAACGACCTGATACCCACCTGAGCCGCCAGGGCGCGCTCCGCTTCAGGCGCAAGGGCATAGGGGGCGGGAGTCTCTGTGATTGGCAGGTGCGGTCGTCAATCGATCGTAGGAGGGCGGGGCGGGCCGCCCGCGCGGCACGCGGGCTGCAGTCGGCGCTAGCTCTCGAGCGTAGCTCGAGTTCTGGCAGAGAGTGGGTGGGAGGAAGCGAAGTGGGGGGAGGGGAAAGAGCGCGGGGGGCGGGGAGGGGCAGCGCCCGGGCGGCGCGCCGAGAACTGAGAGGCAGCGGGTGGGAGCCAGAGTCGGCCGTCGCGGTCCCGGACGCTTCTGTGTCACTGTCTGCTGTGCTCTGCCCCCATCCTCGCCGCGCGCTGCCCTCACGGGACTCGGAGGAGCCCCAGTCGCTCCCGACGGGACTGGGGAGTCGGGACTGGGGAGTCGGGACTGGGAAGCCGGCGCTGAGGGAGGGATCGGGTCCGAGCGGCCGAGCCCAAGGCCCCCGGGCGTGGAAGGGGGGGCTAAGGCCCCCAAGGGGGCCCCGCCGCGATGGGCAACCTAGAGAGCGCGGAGGGGGGCCCGTGCGAGCCGCCGTCGGTGTCGTTGCTGCTGCCGCCAGGCAAGATGCCGATGCCTGAACCCTGTGAGCTGGAGGAGAGGTTCGCCCTGGTGCTGGTGAGAGCTGAACCCAGCCCCCTTTCCCCTCCTACCACCCCCCGGGGTCCCGACGCCCCGGGTGGGATTTTGTGCTGGTCCTGGTCCCGCCCACTCCTTAGCCAGGGCGGACGACAGACCCCGGCCTCCAGTGTCCGCCCGGGAGCCTCTGTGCAACCAGTGGCTGAGCGGGGACAGCGGGTCGGGGATCTCCAGGGGTCGCTTCAACCAGTGGGCATTCTGGAGGAGGAGAGGGACCCCAGTCCGGTACCGCCCCAGGATCCGGACTTTTCCCTCCTTCCTTCCTCGGTGCTCACTTCTCCCCACTTTTCGTCGTTCTCACGGGTCTGAGAATTCTCTTTTCGGAGGATTTTGATGGGGCTGGCTCACTCCTCAGCTACTTCGGACTTAAATTAGTAGGGAAACTGCCTTTCAAGTTAACATGGAGGCTTCTCAGGGAGTGGGTCCCTCTCCCAGCCCAGACCAGATGTTTTGGGGGAGAGGGGGAAAGAAGAGGGGGCTGGCAGCTCTTGAAGCCAGTAGAATAAAGAGTAATGCCATTCTACTTATTTTCAGGACAGCCTGCAGGCATCTTAAATTATAGTGGATATGCCTAAAAGGCTGAACATGTGGATAAGCCATTTCAAACTAGAGTGTTTTTCCAATTGAAACAATACGTAAACCATCCCATTCTGCCTCCTCCCCCCCTCCTTTTCATGTTAAACTCTAGTGACTGGTTTGTGTTCTTTTGCTTGTGCTTCTTTGTAGTTGTTCTGTGGGTTCCAAAATGGTCGGTATGGATAGATTTTTAGAGCTGACTTTGAGATTCTACTATGGCATGGAAATTGAACCTTGATGTCAATGATCCTGAATAGAGGTTCTGAGCCCTAGCATGAAGCAGGAGAATATGTTGGAGCTAAACATTAAGTTTTGGAGAAAGAAAATGAACATTTGCTAACAGATGAAACTTGCAGAAATACTTAGTTTACCCAAAGAACTCTCTAAGAGGTAGCAATAATTCTGGCGTTATTATTGGTATGGCTGAAGGGGCTAACTTTGCCAGTGTTGAGGGATAAGCATGGACTTAGCAGCCTTATTGGGTTTCATCTGCTTTAGAAGAGGGAGATTAGATCTTTTGGCAGCATTGGAACTGTCTAGAGATCCTGGTCTCTGGTGGAGAGCCTGCCATCAGCCCATTGGCACCAGAGCTGGCTCAGAGAGGGTCCATGATGTTCCAAGGGGGAGCCAAGTCCTGGCACCTCTGCATGCCAGTACCGTGAAGGGCCCGAGGGATCTGGGCCACACATCCTGTGGCCCTCCGTATTTCCCCCAGCTTCCTCAGAGGAATGGGGGGGTGGTGTGAGTCAGTGATTACTAATGTGCTGTGACCATCTCAGGCTGAAGAGGAGAGACTGGGACATAGTGCCCTTGAGAACAAGAGCTCAACTGTTGGGAAAAAAGAGTGGGAGGGAAGCTGCGCTTGAGCAGGGGTGTGAAAACCCCCAGGGAGCTGGCACCAGTTAGCTATAGAAATTAGAAAGAGATGGACTGAAGTGTATTGAGTGAGGGGCTGTCCAAGGTAGGGGCTGCCATGCTTTGGGGGGAATACAGAACCAGTCTATCATGTCCTTATTGGGATTTTGTTGGCTAGTTTGTTTAATCAGCAAATTGATGGCTTAATATTCACAAAATGTACATGATGTCCTGATTATTAACCAGAGCACCCAAAGAGCCCAGGTCAAGTAGGGGACTAGACCACCCACTTTCAGTCCTTCCTTTCTGTATAAAGATTTGTTTCCTTGTGGCTTTTGTTTTGGTCCTGTTTCTGTGTGTCTGAGTTGCTGCTGATGGAGGGTTTCAACAGGGCAGGTCAGGGCTGGTTAGCTGTCTCAGAAGAGGAGGGAATTTAAACTCAGTTTTCTAACACAGAAATAACACTTGAAGATTTGAGTTTTTCTCTGGGGACTTTTAAGCTGTCTCCTTCTACCATCCTTTGAGAACAGTATTGACTGTGAGTTAGATGTTTGACTTAGCTATAGGCTCATGTATTTCCTGACCAGTTAGGAGAATAAGCATAGTAGTAGAAAAAGCAAGGAGTCTTAACCTCTTTGAACATAGATTTCATCATCTATAAAATGGGGCTAATAATTCCTGATCTGGAGGGATTGTGAGACCCAGATATATGTAAGGTGTTTGGCACCAGTAGGTACTTGGTATAGATGAGTTTCTTTGCATGGTAATATGAAACAGACAAGTTGCTCCTTAGTTTTTTTCTTTCTCAGTTTGTCAGCTTCACTGTAATTGGGTTTGTGAAAAAGCTATTTTGGAAAGGAGGGTTATAGATGTGTAACACATTGGTGTCTCAGTTAAGCATGTGGACTTTCAAGTCAAAATGAGTTTAAATACTGAGAAGGAGACACTTTCACTCATAGAAAAGTATTTACCTTAAGTAAGTTACTACATAATCCCTTTATGTTCTGTTTTCCTCTTATAAATGAGAAAAATAATATCATTTGCCACAGGGGTTGTTGTGTGATTTAATGAAATTAGAAGCCAAATACTTAGCAGAATCTGTCATGTATTATATGCTCAGTAAATGATAACTTTTAAGTGTACCTCTCAGCAGTGACTAAGATCTAAGATCACTTGAATTCCCCAAATGTGTTTTGTTTTATTTATTGATTGATTGATTGATACTGGGAATTGAACCCAGGAATGCTTTAACTGAGCTAGCCCTTTTTATTTTTTATTTTGAGAAAGGATCTCACTAAATTGCTTAGAGACTCAATAAATCACTGAGGCTGGGCTCAAATTTGTAATCCTCCTGCCTCAGCCTCCTAAATTACTAGGATTATAGGAATGCTCCACCATGCCCCACCCAAAAGTGGTTTTAAGTTCAGAAATCTGATGAATCCAGTTACCCCATTCTGTATACCGAGTCTCAGGATATGCCTTCTGCTGTCAGATGGAGGCCCCTATGGAAACCCCCCTGAAAAACACCCTGATTAGGGAAGTTGTATCAAGCTGAGTCAATACCAGAGGCTCCCTCTTTTTATGTACAAATTACATGATTTGACCTTCAGCTTGCTAGCCAGGTTGTAGAGCTAGAGGCCTGAGGCTGTGGAGTGATTTATTTAGGACATTGATCCTAAGAGTCTTAACCCAGTCCTGTACCCTAAACTGGGGCTTCCCTACTGGTGTGCTGCAAATAGGTCATGAGTATGCTGAGGTCCCTAATTAATCCCCTCTTGGTGTGCCCTGAGGTGAAAAAGGTTGTGAAGCTGCTGTGTTAAACTGCATTTGAGGATTCCCCCACCCCCACCCCAGCAACAATTCGCATTCTGTTGAGTATTGAGAAATTTGGGGTTTAGATAATAATTGGAGTTCCTCTTTATTAATATCAGAATAAGAGCCAGTCTCTAATCTGATAAGGCATTTTGGTCCCAAGCTGAGTTGCTCTGAAGCTAAAATTTTGGCTAGAGCTGGACTTTCCTTAGGGGAGGTAGAAGGCTCTGAGAAGATAGCTTTCTGCCTTTGGTTGTTCTCTTTGTTAACTTATTATAGGCTCAAAAGAGATCTAAAAGTTCTGATGCTGAGGAAGCCCTGACTATCCTTCAGAAGGAGGCTTCCTGCATGAGGGTGGGGTTGTTTGGCAGAGTTGTTCCTGCTGCCGCTCTTTCTCTCACATTTCCTGGGTGAGGACTGATAACTTGGTTTGACCATAAGTGTACTAGCTAAGCTGTTGTGGGTACTAGTTGTCTCAGAGACTTTGAGGGGCCTCCTTTGATACAGAAAGGGGCTGGGAAAAACTTGGTTTAAATATCAGGTTCCAAATTGCCATGGTTGAATTTTTTCTCCCCAGCCCTGGGGATTGTGGTGAATTAGTTCAGGCTGGAATAGAAAGAACTTGGAGAAGGGAAAGGGCCCTTGACAACAGCTGGTTAGAGGAACCTCTTCCTTGTTCAGAGAACCCACTGAGAAGACCAGAGGCCACAGAGAGGAACCTCATTCCCTTGCTTGATTTTTCTATATGGCCCAGCCTTAGTCTGAGGAAGGTGTTGTGTGTTAGGGATGGGTAGAGTAGATTGTCATTTGGGTCTGTTTTCACTGCCCACAGGGAGAGTCAGCTTTTGTTTTTCCTCTCTTATTCATTATCTAAAGTATGGGACAATTCTTAAAGAAGATGAGATTGAAGGAAAATATCTTTTCTTAGTACCCTTACCAAATGCAGCCAATGTAGTTTAAATTCTGTCTCCTTCCTTCCTTCCTTGCATAGAGTGTTATACAGTGTTATGATACATGACAATATGTATTTATCCACTTTTTAAAATTTTGCTTTTGTTATTTCATTAGTTTTCCTAGACTAGTAATTGTAAACATTTCCAAATGCTTGTACAATGGTCCATGAAGTGAATGTACCATTGTTTACCTAACCATACTCCTATTGTTGGACATTAGGTTATTTGCTTCTGTTTGTCATCATACACAATGCTGTGATGAACATCTTGCATACAACATCTTTTCAATATTTAGAGTTTTGCTTAGACTAGAAACCTAAACTTACTGGATTGTGGATATAATTTTTTTAAGGTAGTAAATACATATTTTTAAGTGGTTTTTAAAAAAAGAGATTAATGTGCTGGGCATTGTGGTGCATGTCTATAATCCTAGTAACTGGGCAGGCTGAGGCAGAAGGATCACAAGTTTGAGGCTTCCTGGGTTTAGGATTGGAGATGTAGCTCAGCAGTAGAGCACTTGCCTAGCATGTTTTATCCTGGGGTTCAATCCTCAGTACCAAGAGAAAGAAAGAAGAAAGAGTTGTGAGAGAAGGTCCTTAAAAGGAAAGAAAATGATTAAGAATAGTTTCTTGGACAAGGGATGCTCAATGGTAGAGTGCTTGCCTAGCATGCTGCAAGGTTTCAGGTTCTGCCAAAAAAAAAAAAATTTCTCTTGATTATGATTTTTTTTCTCCTGATAGCATGTTTATTAAGCCAATTTGGAAGATACTAAAAAGTATAAAG